AGGTAGAGTGGGGGCATGGCAGAGCATGGGAGTTGCCTCTGGGAGAAGAGTCTAAGCAGGGGTGGGACTTTGAGGTGAAGTGTAGGTGAAGCAGGGGTTAAGGCCATGGTCCAGGTGCTTGGACCCACAAAAGATTAATCCAGCCCTGAGTATTGCTAATACTGCAAACAAATACTGGGGAGGTTAGCAGCACTGCTTCTGTCACTGCCATTGCTCCATCCTTGCTTGATATTACTTCTTACCCCTCTCTACAAGGAGTCAATTACCCACTCCACAGACCCCTCCACTCCCTTTTCAGCCTACTTGTGCTCAGGATGATATCCAACGCCATTTTTAATGTTGGTATATCCAGCACACTATTTTCTTAGCCTTACTCTTAAATCTATTACCAAAACTTTCTCCATTTCTTATTCATAATTAGTAGTTCACCCTCTCCTGGACTTGCATACACACATGCATACACATAAACAAACTTTCTGCTATGAACTTCCATTCAGGTTACAATCTTGGCTCTATTCTCCAGCGTCACCTTCAGAGACATTCAAGTTAGTCTCAAAGGTAGGAAAGATCAGAGAAAAGTACAAAAAAATAAAGCTTTTGATATCAGCTGCATAAACGTAATACTGATATTTCCTATTTACACTGTAGCTTCTTTTCTCCTAAATGCTTCAAAGCTCAAATTCATTAGTTTGGGTGAAGTGCTTTGTCACATATCTCTTGTCAACATAGCAAGAGACCTTAAGAAGAGTCACTGTGGCTTAACCACCATGTAAAAGAAGCAGCGAGGGACAAAAAGGTATATTTTAAGAAGTGGAAGTCCAATCCTAGTAAGATAAATAGAAAGGAACATAAATACTGTCAAATCAAGTGTAAAAATGTAATAAGAAAAGCAAAAAAAAAAAGATTTTGAGGAACAGCTAGCCAAAAACTCAAAAAGAAATAACAAAATGTTTTTTAAGTACATTAGAAGCAGGAAGCCCGCTAAAAAACCTGTGGGTCCTCTAGCTGATCGAGCTATAAAAGGAGCAATCAAGGACGATAAAGCCATTGCAGAGAAACTAAATGATTTCTTTGCTTCAGTCTTAACGGCTGAGGACGTTGGGGAGATTCACAAATCTGCACCATTCTTTGTGGGTGATGAATCTGAGGAACTGTCCCGGACTGAAGTGTCATTAGAGAAGGTTTTGGAACAAATAGAAAAACAATGTTAACAAATCTCCGGAACCGGATGGCATTCATCCAAGGGTTCTAAAAGAACTCAAATGGAAAATTTCTGAACTATTATCTGTGGTTTGTAACCTATCCTTTAAATCGGCTTCCATACCTAATGACTGGAAGGTAGCTAACGTGACACCAATATTTAAAAAGGGCTCTAGAGGCAATCCTGGCAATTACAGATCAGTAAGTCTAACTTCAGTACCGGGCAAATTAGTCGAAACAACAGTAAAGAATAAAATTGTGAAGCATGTAGAAGAACATAATTTGTTGGACAAAAGTCAACATGGTTTCTGTAAAGAGAAATCCTGTCTTACTAATCTATTAGAGTTCTTTGAAGGGGTTAACAAACATGCGGACAAGGGGGATCCAGTAGATATAGTATACTTGGATTTTCAGAAAGCCTTTGACAAGGTCCCTCACCAAAGGCTCTTGTATAAATTACATGGCCAGGGGATAAGAGGGAAGGTCCTTTCTTGGATTGAGAACTGGCTAAAAGACAGGAAACAAAGGGTAGGAATAAATGGTAAATTTTCAGATTGGAGAGGGGTAACTAGTGGTGTACCCCAAGGGTCAGTCCTGGGACCAATCCTTTTCAACTTATTCATAAATGATCTGGAGAAAGGGGTAAGCAGTGACGTAGTAAAGTTTGCAGATGATACCAAACTGTTTAGGATAGCCAAGACAGAAGCAGACTGTGAGGGACTCCAAGAAGATCTCACCAAACTGAGTGATTGGGCAACAAAATGGCAAATGAAATTTAATGTGGATAAGTGTAAAGTAATGCACATCGGGAAAAATAACCCCAACTATACGTACAGTATGATGGGGGCTAATTTGGCTACGACAAATCAGGAAAGAGATCTTGGAGTTATCGTGGACAGTTCTCTGAAAACTTCCACACAGTGTGCAGCGGCGGTCAAAAAGGCAAATAGGATGCTAGGAATTATTAGGAAAGGGATAGAAAATAAGACCCAGAATATCTTACGTGGTCTCCTCACTTCAAAAGAAGATATTTTGGCCTTGGAAAGGGTTCAGAAAAGGGCAACTAAAATGATTAGGGGTTTGGAACGGGTCCCATATGAAGAGAGGTTAAAGCAACTGGGACTTTTCAGTTTAGAAAAGAGGAGACTGAGGGGGGATATGATAAAGGTATATAAAATCATGAGTGGTGTGGAGAGGGCCGATAAAGAAAAGTTATTTATTAGTTCCCTAAATAGAAGAACTAGAGGACACCAAATGAAATTAATGGGTAGCAAGTTTAAAACTAATAAAAAAGTTCTTCTTCACACAGCGTGTAGTCAACCTGTGGAACTCTTTGCCAGAGGAGGCTGTGAAGGCTAGGACTATAAGAGTTTAAAGAGAAGCTAGATGTTTCATGGAGATTAGGTCCATAAAAAGTTATTTGCCAGGGGATAAAATGGTGTCCTTGGCCTCTGTTTGTCAGAGGCTGGAGAGGGATGGCAGGAGACAAATTGCTTGATCATTGTCTTCGGTCCACCCTCTCTGGGGCACCTGGTGCTGGCCACTGTCGGCAGACAGGCTACTGGGCTAGATGGACCTTTGGTCTGACCCAGTACGGCCGTTCTTATGTTGTTATATTTCTTACACTACTCTCGCTCTCCTGAAATCCAGACTTAAACTTTACTCTGAAAGTCAGAAATCCTGAAGGCATCCATCACCCCAGATTTTCTATTCTCACTTCAGCTTGTCGGCAAATCTGAATCTCCCACCTGCAGAACAATACCAATGTTTTGACATTGCTATGACATTGCCCTCATTGCTATTTTTTCATGCTCTGATCAATTTTTGCCTTGTCTTTTGCAATAATCTCTTTCGTGATTTCCCTAAAACCTCAAAATTGCTAAGTTTCCGGGGTGGGGGTGGGGGATAAATGTTTCCTAGGATAAAAAAAAAATATTATCTGGCTAGAGCAGGGCTACTCAACACATGGTCAGTGTGGGCCGCACGAGGCCTGCGGCCCATTTGTTTGTGGCCCGTGGTGCAGTTTTGGTTTACGCAGGGCTCAACATGTGGCCCATGGGTGGGAGCCAAAACAAAAAAGTAGTCAATATAACGGTCTTCTGTTGAAATGCGTTTTAGTAGTTAAATTCCTGGACTATCATTGCTCATTAAAAGTGCTGTCATATGGGTGGAAATCAGGTAAATATTGCATTTTATTAATATCAGAACTGAATAAAATGGGGCCTGTGCATTGTGTAGTCTTGCCTTAATCTTTGTATTCATGCCCATCAGTGTGAAAGAAGCTATTTGCATATTCAGTATATTAGCATCTATATGCAACCTCACTTAAGTCGCTGCCCTTGGCATTTGTTGTGAGTATCATTGTAGCCCCTGGGACTTCCAAAATTGAGTAGCCCTGGGACAGAGCTTTAAAATCCTCCTGTTTTCCAAATGACTATGGATTCAAAATCCACCCTACCCCTCTTATTTTACATCTTTCTGATCGCCTAAATCTTGGCATATTTTCTCTCTCTCTCCAGACCTGTATACTACAGAAAACTGGGAGTCAATCTTTTTTCTAGTCTGCTTCAGCTATCTGGAGTTCTTTCTAACTGAAAGGAGTATAGCCACTCAAAAGCTATTCCCCTAATCCTGCTGGGGTAGATGTGTCACCACCCCTCATGGGTAAAGATATAGAAGACAGATCGAAAACACAGCAATTGCTCTTTAGTTCTGCATGTGTTTTAGATGGGTGCAGGATTAGATTGAGAAACAAAAATAAACTGAAATGTGATGTTAAGTCTACTGTCATAAGGAGACCACTCAACATTGCCATCAATGTAATGTCTATACTACATTCAGGTCTAAAACCAAACTCTTTGGGATCAAGGAAACCTGCAGACCCCAGATACTTGCCCTGTCAGCACCTCTAATAAATGTCCTCCCTAAAAATATCTGAGAAAGGGAAGTAACTAGACTGTTTATCAGTAGCATGAGGTGGTTTCTTGAGCAAGGATAAACAATCTCTACATACACACACACACTTTCGTTTTATTGATATAATCAGTGTAGCTACCACAGATATTTCACGTTTAACAAAAGTCTGTGACCAAATAAAACCTGTAAAAGATATGTGAGGTAGGCAGTTAAGGCGTTTTATACCTGGGGGGCACAGGTTCAAACTCTGACAAGGTGGAAGTGAATTGATTTTGGTTATTTTTAATTCAAGTCTGTCTAAAATATTCGTCCATAGCATAAAGTCTCCTAAAATGGACAGGAAAACGGCTCCAATAAACCAAGACCCATAACTGAGCCAATAGCTGTATTGAACGCTTGACTAAAGGAGTATTGCCAGAGTTCCATGATGTTGTTTCAGTGGTGCCTACACATGACAGACCCTGTTCTTGCCAGTGTCATAGGATCATTACTTTCATTTACACAAGCAATTTACATGTTCCCAAAATTTATATATATTTTATTTCTCACTAGAAAGGCTTTACTAGTGGGTGTAGTGAATCTGCTTGTACACAAACCCTCAAACATTTACATTTAAATACTTAATATTTTGCAATCCAAAGTTTTTCTGTGTAAAGTGATAACTGAGGATGATGCTTAAGAAACAAGCTTTTCCACCCCCAGTTTCCCTGTAGGCTAATTAAACCATCAGTCTCAAATATAGCAGCTGTCAACAAGGTTGCTGCTAATGCTTCAAAGCATCCGCACTATCCCAAGCCTATTCTCCCAGCATTCTCTGCACCATCATTGAACACTTAGCACTTCCCCCACTATTGACTCAGCACCAATCTGCCTCACTTACTAACCTGGTTTTGGCTTCAACACCAACAGAGGCAGTGGAACTTGCAGACTCCTCAGATACTGAGCGCTGAAGAACTGGTGTTAGCTGCTTGTTACTGTCCACTTCAGTTTGGGCATCCTCCTCTGCAGATTGTTCTTTGACTTCTGTTTGACAAGAAAGAAAACTGCTAAGATTCCATTTGTGTGTCTATAAACATCACTGTATTTACTTTTTCCCCTTTAATGTAATGTTTTTAGATAGAGTTGTTACACAGACTAAACTATTAGAAAAGAAATACTGAAGTAGGGAAGTATCATTCCTCTTCATATATACCTTAAATGTAGTAAGAGCCACTGAGCCACAGCGAAGGTAGGTCCCAGACCTGATGGGTCCTGGACCACTGTGCCTCTGCATTTTAAATGTGGTAGGAGCCAGCCAGCAGAAGCGCAACTGTCTGGAATCCGATGTAGCTGGGACTGCTCAGTCCCAGCTCACTCAAGGTCCTGGGCTTACCCCTGCTGCACCTCTGCATTTTAAATGTAGTAAGAGCTGGGTGGCTTTTACTACATTTAAAATGCAGAGATGCAGTGGCCCAGGACCCAGCATGAGCTGGAACTGCTCAGGCCCAGCTCCCAGACAGCTGCGCCTCTGCCTCCCCTCCACAGCATGGAGATGGTGCTGGGAGGGAACTGGCTTTTAGGCTGGCTCCCCCCAGCACCAGCTCCTGCTCCCCCCTTGCTGCCTCTTTATCAGAAGCAGCAAGGTGAGGGAGGAGCGAGTAGTTGAGTAGTGACTCAACTACCTGATAAGCCTTGACTACTCCTTTATATCCCTAGCCAGGGTCAAGGCCCAGGCTGGGAGAGTGTGGAAAGAGGGAAGACTGAGCTGGGGTCAGGAGGAGGGAGGGAAGATCAAGCTTCTTCTGGGGCTAGGTCAGGAGGGGAGAATGTGAGCTTCTGTGTCCCCTCAAAAAGGATCAAATTTAAATTCCTGCACAGACTCCATAACAACCCTTAACACATGAAAATCTGTTATCAGACCCCATACAGTCTTCTTTTCTCAAGACTGTCTCAGTTTGTTTTTTTAAACTTTTCCTCATAGGTCAAGCTTTCTAAATCTTTTATCATTTTGCTCTCTCCTCTAGACTCTCCAGTTTGTCCTTATTTATCCTAAAAGTGTGGTGCCCAAGACTGAGCAAAGTACTCCAATTGAGGCCTCACCAGTGCCAAGTAGAGCAGGACAATTACCTCACATGTTTCCCATACAATGATCTTGTGAATACATCCCAAGATGATATTAACCTTTTTGCAGCTACCTCCTACTGTTGATGCATTAACTATCAACACCCTGTTCTTTTTCAGCACTATTTCTGCCTACCCACTTATTCCCAATTTTCTAGCTGTGCATTTGATTTCTCCTTCGCAAGTGAAGTACTTTGAACTTGTCTTTACTGAATTTATCTTGCTGCTCTCAGAACAATTCTTTAATAGACTTGTGATAATGTAATTAAAGATTGTCATTCTGCATGCACATAAACGGACAAAACTGAGGCTGCATGGCAACCAAATCTATGGCATTTCCTAACTTTCAAGTGCTTAACATTGGATCTTAAATAACTTTTTTTGATAATAAATCTTTATATGTATAACCTCCTAGTTATTCTTAT